CGATTCAATCGAATACATTGAAAACGAAGGTTTGGATTGTTGTTTTTTTTTTGGAAATAGATTTAGGGATTTTTAGATATGGATTTAAGGATTTAAAAGTATGCTTTTAAAGAGTTATTTTTTAAATTAAGGATGAAATTGAGGCGATATTTAAGGATCGTTATTTGCATACGAATTGCTTGGCAGCGCTCGCGAATATGTCATCGAATTTCAAGCAGTTATCATCGATGGTGTGTCAGAAGTTGGTGGGTCTTCTTGAGGTGGGTGATTTTCGGTAATTTTTGTGATTTTTGATTGATTTAGAATTGTTTAGTAATTGACTTTATCTGGGTGGGATGGGCGGTCTTGGGTTGGCGAAGCGGTACACTGGAGTTTTGGCAAAGTGATGCTCCCTAGTTTTGGCAACATGGTGTTTCTTAGTTTTGGCGATATGGGTGTACGCAGCTTCCCGTCAGAAAATTTTTTAAAAATTTTAATTTTTTAAAAAAAATGAATGGTTTTTGGAAGATAGTTATGGTAGATCCTGGTTAAGATGGCTGGAGCACGAGGGTGTTTGAAGCTTCGTCATGGAGAGAGAAGAAAACGAAAAGTTTTGAGTAGAAAACGGGGATTTTGTGAGAAAATTGTTTCGGTTTAGAAAGTTGTTTTTAATTTTGCATTGAGAATTCGTGAAATTGTTCAGTTATTCACGAAGCGTCACTCAAAATTGATAGAGCATATGCGGGCGAATGCTGAGTATGAAGTGGACAGTGGAAAGCAGCTGCCGAATTATGTAAGTTTCGATGCATTTTTTGGATTTTGTTGTTTTGTTTTTGGTTTTTTGTTTTGAGTATTTTTCGTTTTCTCAGTTTAATTTAGTTTTTCATTTTTTTTAAATGGAATTACGTTTTGAATAGTTCATTTTTGGAATGTTTATGGCCATTTTAGTTTATTTGAGTGATGGATTAGTTGATAAAATTTATTTTGTTGTTAATTATTGATAATTGTGACGAGAAAGATTGAAGCATCAAGATATCACGGCACTCGAGGAGGGAATTCGAACGCT